GGGGGGGGCTCCTGTCGCCACGGCTGGATCCGACTCGTCATGCTGGTCAGGACGCGCCCGTTGAAAGAATCAAGTGCTGATTCTTGCGTCGAGGGGGAGGAGACGGAGCGGGACGTCTGGGGTGAAAGTACCCAGGATGGACCCCGGGGGCGGATTGCGAGCGGATCGTGGTAGGGGGAACGAGGCAGATGGAGGAGGAGGAGGAGGAGGAGGAGGAGGAGGAGGAGGAGGAGAAAAGGAGGAGGAGGAGGAGGAGTTAGGAGGAAGAGGAGGAGGAGGAGGAGGAGGAGGAGGAGGAGGAGGAGGAGGAGCTTTAGCAGCAGCAGGAGCAGAAGCAGGAGCAGGTATGGGGAGCCTCGTGGGGGCAGCGGGAGCAGGCTCGAGCGGGGTTGTTGGGTGCTGCTTGGGAGCTGCAGGAGCTTTATCTTGTTCTGCGGGGCGTGAGATTGCCAAAGGCCAAAGATTGCCATCGTGTTTACATCGTGGTCTTCGCCACGACGCGAGGAGGCATCTGCCTCCTTCTGCCGGGGCGGGGTCCATCTCGACCTCACCGATCCGACTCGATACTGACTTCGGCTGGCCCGGCCCGGTTCCGACGCTCTGACAATATGGTGCCGCCGACGTTTGCATAAGGGAACGAAGAATGACATAAACACAAAAACTCGGAGGTCCGCGCGGATTTCTCGGATCCGCTCTGAACCCCCTCGGCGGCGCTTCCGGCGCCGCCCCTGGCGCAGGGAGGGGTGTCAGCGCCGATCCGAGAAATCCGCGTGGACCTCCGAGCTGTTATGTTTATGTCATTCTTCGTTCCCCTGTGCATTGGCGGCGTAGTGCATCATGGCGGCGCCGTTCCTATCTGATGTCGATGCTGTGCCGATGCAGCCCGATCCGACGCACATGCCGATCCGACACGATTTCCTAATCCGATCCGATCTTGCCTGGGTACGCAGGCCAGGGAGGAGAAGGCGGAGGAGGAGGAGGAGAAGTAGGATTAACGATGAGTAACCACGGCGAGTTGATGAATTCTCTAGTGGCTTTTGGCCGATCTTGCTACCGCGCCTTGTTTGCAGGTCACAGGCCTCTGGGATGCCCGTGGGGATCTCTTATCAGGCCTCTCGGAAGCCTCTTGGAGGTGGTTAATGGGTCGTCTTGGGGTCTATCGTGGGCCCCTTCGGGGGCCATCTACGGCCTGAGTTGGGCTTCTTTGGGGTCTCCTGGAGCTTCTGACGGGCTCGGGGCCTGCTGGCGGTCTCGGGGGTCAGCTTGGGACGGGGGGCTCGAGATGGCGAGTCGTGGGGCACCTGTTGGGGCCGTTTTGGGGGGCGTCTTGGTGCCTTGGTGGCTTCGTGGGCCGTCTCGGGGCCTTCGAGGGGGCCGTCTTGGTCACTCGGACTTCCGAAGGGCGACAACGCCAAAATTGCACAACCCCCACCCCCCGAAGGGCAACGATCATTGTGGCGTATTTGGGCCCTCTTGGGTGGCCTCTTGCAGCCCTTTTACTCTTTTGGGTTGTCTTGGGGTCCTCTTACGCCGTCTTGAGCCGTCATTGGGCATCTTGGAGAACTCTTGGGCCGACTCGGGGCTCCCTTGGACCGTCTCGGAGGCCTCTTGGGGCCCTCTTGGCCCGTATTGGGGCCATCTTGGCTCCAGCTGGCACGTGGGAAGCCTTGGCAAATTTGAGAAATTGGGGTCCGGGTCGCTTGATAATCTATATCATTGAGGGCCGAGGATTCGGACAATCTGATGACATTCCAATTCGTGCTTCAGGGCACAGTGGCGACAACCTTCTCGTTGGGGAGGGGTTCAGTGTTCCTCAAGCTTGTTTTACAGTGTGTCTTAGGTTTTCTTCCTGATTTCTATGGGAAGCCGTAGTTTCACGTAGGGAAGAAAGGGGCCTTGTTCCTTATTTTGGGTTCCTTGTGACAACGATTCGATTGTAGTTTCATTCGTTCGTTTTCTCATTCGCCCGAGGCTGGGGCGGGATTGACGAGAGATGATAGGCAGGAGAGGGCAGGGGAGGAGGAGCGGGCGGGATGGCAAGCCAGGGGGCTCTGATGGAGCCATCCAGAGTATACTTGCCGGCTTCTTCGTGCACAGATGCATAGACAGTGACGCGAATGAACAGAACACTGCAGACCATCAAGCCGCACCACAGATATGAGTGGGGAACTTGGCGTGTGGTGACCAGGGAGCGCGACAATCGCGATTTGACTGAAAGTAGGCGGCAGAGACAGTGTGCGAGAGAGATATATGTAGAGAGACAGAGAGAGAGAGAGAGAGAGAGAGCCAGAGAGAGAGAGAAGGGGAGAGAGAGAGAGAGAGAGAGAAAGAGAGAGAGAGAGAAAGAGAGACAGGTCGAACACAAACAATATTAAAGAGTTAGCAGGTGGATGCCAGACCCCACACACAGTGAGAGAGAGAGAGACGCAGATAATATTAGTTTTGTTTCACGGAGCAAGACGCGAGAGATCGTCCCGCTATTTGTATTGTCATTCATGTTTTTATGTGCGCCTTCTAGCGCTACTTCTTCCCAGCATTCGCATCTTGCCCGTCTCATCCTTCCTCCATTTTGGCGGAATGGGTTCTGGTGGCCAGACTACGTCTGAAAAGTTGACATATGTTCTTTTTGCCGTTTCCCGTTCCCGCTTGAAAGACGTGCGATGCGTCCAACATCGAGGCGCTTGGGTGATCCAGGGTCCAAGCCCCGTGCTAGCATGAACACAAACGCACGCATGCGCTGAAGAGACAAGTCAGTATTCGATATGCTGGTGGCCTGCCATCAGAAGTGATTGCGCTCCCGATGATGCTATTTGAAAACTGCGAATTCCAGAGAGCCGCACGTAGGCGGCGGTAGGGCAGAAGGAAACATGTCAATCATGCCAGAAGAGCAGAGATCGTCAACAGCCGATACGACTGGCCACACACACGCACACATACGCACCGATACGACTGGCCACGACAGAGACCGCCCTGGGTCCACTCACTCACTCACTCCTCTTCCCCCTCCCCCGTCCTCCCATTCCTGCCGTTGCTCTTCGCATGCCCAGTTCGGCACTCCCACACGTTTGGTGGCCCCTTTAGGGAGCTCCATCGAAGGCCTCAGCGGCAGGGTCCGCATGCGCGGCACATTTCTCACGAGAGTCGTGGCCCCATAGGGAGCTCCACCGAGGGCCCCAGTGGCAGGGTTCTCATGCGCCCCCCCCGCCCATTTCGGCACATCCGTAACGAGGATCGTGGCCCCATAGAAAGCTTCACCGAAGGCCCCACTGGCATGGTTCGCATGCGTCCCCCCGCCCATTTCGGCGGACCCCCCATGAGGATCGTGGCCAATCGGGAGCTCCACCGACGGCCCCAGTGGCAGGGTCCGCATGCGTCCCCCCGCCAATTGTGGCACACTCCTCACGAGGATCGTGGCCCCCTCAGGGAGCTCCACCGAAGGTCCCGGTGGCAGAGTCCACATGCATCCTCCCACCAACGTCGGCACACCTCTGACGAGGATCGCATCCCCATAGGGGGCTCCACCGAAGGTCCTAGAGGCAGGGGTCGCATGCGTACCCCAGCCAATTCGGCACACCCCTCACGAGGATCGTGGCCCTGTAGGGAGCTCCACCGAAGGCCCCAGTGACAGGGTTCGCATGCGTTCACACCTCTTAGGAGGATCGTGGCCCCATCGGGAGCTCCACCGAAGGCCGTGGCAGGGTTCGCATGCGTCCCCCCAGCCCATTTCGGCACATCCGTAACGAGGATCGTGGCCCATAGGGCGCTCCACCGAAGCGCCCAGTGGCATGGCCCGCGTGCGTCCCCCCAGCTCATTTCGGCACACCCCTCACGAGGGTCGTGGTCCAATACGAAGCGTCACCGAAAGCGGTACCCGCAATGCGATACTCACAACTGCATATGGTTGGGCCCTTCGCGAGGATCATGTTGGCGTCGCGGCCCTGCGCGCAGCGACAGAGCGTAACACACACACACACACACACACACACACACACACACACACACACACGCACACGCACACGCACACGCACACGCACACGCACACGCTTATGCACACACACACACTCACACACACATAAACACGCACATTTCTATTTGGCGTCGCGGCACCGCGCGCAGCAACTCGGCGGAGTCCGTCTAGCGGGAGTGACTGGAGGGTTTTGCGATTGGCTTGCCAGCTCGCCCAGCGGCAGCGGAGAGAACCCACACGCATACACAGACGCGCGCGGGCACGCACGCTGGAGATACGCATGCAAGCGCGCATTCACGCACGCGCACGTATGCGCGCATGCGTTCCAGCGTCGCGGCCGCGCGAGCAGCGACACGGCGGAGTCGGCCAGCAGCAGCAGCAGCACATTTGCACAAGCGCTATCGCGCGGTCCCTGCCCGGCCCCTGGATCATGCATCAGCGCTCCACTTTTGCTCGACCTTATCTCCCCCCGCGCCCCGCGAGACCCTCCCGCAGATATTCTCGGCCCGAGCAGAATGTCAGAACAGCAGGGGGCTTGCGTGCAGACAGGCGCGCGTAGCCGAAGCTCGATCGACCAATGGGATCCGTCCGCGGCCGGTTCCGGGCTGCTGGTCCGGCCCGCCCCGATTTGTTCCCGAGCTTCTTTCGTGCTCTTCGTCGTGATGGTCGTGGATTGGATGGCCTACAGCGCGACGTACATCAGCGTCCCCACGATGATCTTGAGGGAGAAGTGCGAGGACCTTGGCCTCTCCCCTGGCGATGAGTGCAACTCGTCGAAGGAGGCCCAGGCGCAGCAGGCAGCCTTTATGGCGATGTTCTCCCTCTGCACGGGTGCCCCATCTGTCGCCGTGTGCTCGTTGCTGTCGCACCTCTCCGACGTCATCGGCAGGAAGCCCATGTTTCTGCTGGGAAACCTACAGGTCAGGAGGAAAAAAAAACAGACACAATTCGTCGTCGACTCGCGCGAAAGTATGAGAAAATGTGTGGAGTGGGGGGAAGACAAAAACCTAGACAATATCAGAAAATATGGGGAATCCTGTTATTTGTGTCAATTTGTTGTATGTCCCAGGGCCCTCTTAATCCTACAGGGCGTCCTCATGTACGGCGTGCTGCTGATCAATGGCGCGAGGGGCGCTTCGACACTCATTCTCATTACCTTCATCAACTTGCTTGGTGGCATCTACGTCACCGATGGGGCAATTTTCGCATCCGTCGCCGACCTGACCTCCAACAGCAGCGGGCACGACCGTGTGCGCCTCATGAGCATCATCGAGGGGGCGCAGTGGTTCGGCCAGATCCTTGGCCCACTGATTGGAGGCCACGTGTCCACTCTCGTGTCCCCGCAGACGTCTTTCATCGTGCCGACTGCTCTCTACGGTGTCGGTCTGCTGCTCAGCGTGGTGGCGTACCCAGAGACGCTGTCGCACGAACGTCGCGCGACATTTGACTTTCAGAAGTCGCATCCGTTCGGCGTTGTCTCCATTGCGAGGGGGTACCGGCGGTCAATGATTCTTGCATCAGGCTTGTTGTTCGCACAGTGGGGCCTTGGCACAGGCGTGGCCACGTGGCCGATGTTCACGAAGAACAGCTTTGACTGGAAGAACGACCAGATCGGCAACATGGAGGCGCTTTACTTCACAGCGAATGCAATGGGGCTGTTTGTCTTGCTTCCTATTATCAACAGACACGCCACGCCAAAGGCTGTGATCACGGCCTCGGCCGCATGCTCAATTTTCATGTGGGGATGTCACATCTTAGTCACCGCGGGCTGGATGATGTTTCCTCTCGCATGCCTTGGCATGTTCTCTGCAATGCTGTTTCCGCTCATCCGTGCCGGCATCGCCACAGAGTTTGGCCCGAGCATGTACGGGGCCGCGCTCGGTGTCGCGGCGCTGGTGCAGCAGACTGCGAAGGTCGGAGTGCTCCCCGCAGTGGGCCTGGCCTGGCATGTGATCCAGGAGAGCGGCCTGCCGGACTACATTCGCAGGAGCAAGACCGCCATAAGCAGGCATTTTCTGACTTCCGCGTGGATTTCCTGCGATCGAAGTTGGGGCACCCTGGCGGCGCCTCTGGCGCCGCCCCCGGCGCGCTCCGCGCGCCAGGGAGGGGGTCCAGCGCCGATCCACGAACGCCACGCGGACCTCTGAGAGTTTCTGTTCATGAAGCTCTTTGTTCCTCTGTACATGGCGTACGTCATTGTCACCCTCGAGTACGCCGCGGCGTTCCTCATTTTCCTGTGGGTGCCCATCCCCGCCGCCGATGGCGCGGGCCTACTCCGGAGGGTCTCGGCCGGTGCCGCCGTCGACGCGGTGCCGGCTGCTGCCTCGGAGGTCGACATGGTTGGTGTGGAGTCGTTTCCTTCGCTGGACGCGTCACGCAGAGGGTCGCAGGTGGCGGCGTCGGGAGCAGACAGGCCGCACTCGTTCCCTCAGGCGAGGCAGTAGCGCTTCTGGTGCAAAACGTGCGATCAGCCATCAGCCACGCGTCCAAGCCATGAGGCTGTCTGCAGGAGAACGTGCCGTGAGTCGTCTTTCTTCCAAGGCGATGCAGTGGAAGGCAGGGCAGCGCAATGCAAGGCCTTTCGAAGCAAAGCGGCGCACCACACCACAATTCAGCACGACGATGTGCGACACAAGTAATCAGAACAGCACGCTGCGAAGCAATGTGCAGCAAGCAATGCAGCCCAAACAAACCATACATTCGATGCAGTGCAGGGCAATGAGCAGCAAGGCAAAGCAGCAGGCAGCATCGCAGAGCAATGACAATCGTCCCGCTCATGCTCACACACAGCATGGTGATCGTTTTTGTCAGTCGTTGTTTTGCCGATCGGCGCGGATCCTCGCACCTCCTCCCCCCTTCCCACCCCGTGGAGTAGATCTTGGCTGTTTTTGGCGACTGTTTCGAACAGGTGGCGCCTCCCCCATGATGGACGCACTGCTACAGACCAGACGCGCTAAGCAGAGGTCCAGAGCCAGCCCCCCCCTTCCGCCCAATGTCGAGATATAAGGCTCACGTGGCAGCGCAAGGCAGCACAAGTGCAGAGTTCCGCGGAGCAGCCCCCGAGGTCGGGCGGGTGGTAATGGGGAGTGACTCACGTGGGGAGTGACGAGAAAGGCCCCAAGGGGGCCCTCTAGGGCCCCTTTCGGGCACCAGCTGGCTCCAGAAGGGGCCCTGGAGGGCCCCTTCAGGGCCCTTCTCTTCACCCCCCACGTGGGTCACCCCCCATTACCACCCGCCCGACCTCGGGAGCTGCTCCGCGGAGCTCTGCACTTGCTCTGCCTTGCGCTGCCATGTGAGCTGGCTCCAGAAGTGGCCAGGACCTTGAACAGCCCCCGGGCGTAAGTCGGGCCTGCCCCTCTACAGGAGGAAAATTCAAAGATGGGCAACACATAGTTTGGGGATGACTTTATGAGTATGTTTGACTAGTTTGTGGTATGGTTTGACTCTGTTTTTATTATTGGTGCAAAATCCGCCTGTAGGGGGACATGCCCGACCTAACCCTGGGCAGCCCCGAAGGCCAGGGAGGGCCCGCGAGCGCCTCTCCTGCCCGCGGCGGGTTCCACCGCCGTGCCAGGTGCAGCCCTCCGTGTGGCGCCGCCGTCGAGCTCCGGAGGGGAAACAAGAGCGCAGAGACACAGTTCGTTGACGATCCCAAGGGAAGTGTGGGAACATGTGGGGGGTGGGGGGGCGGAAGACGAACATTCAGAAAATGCGGGGACAGATGGGGGATCCTGGGATTTGTGTGCATGTGAGTGTGTGTGTGTGTGCGCGCGTGTGTGTGTTTCTGTGTGTTTGTGTGTGTGTGTGTGTTTGTGTGTGTGTTAATGTGTGTTTGAGTGTAACTGTGTGTGTGCGTGTGTGTGTGTGTGTTTGTGCGTGTGGTTGTGTGTGTTGTGTGTGATTATGTGTGTGTGTGTGTTTGTGTGCGTGTGTGTGTGTGTGTGAATGTGTGTTTGTGTGTTGTTGTATATGTTTGTGCTTGTGTGGTTGTGTGTGTTGCGTGTATGTGTGTTTGTGTGTGTTGTGTATGTGTGTGTTTGGGTGTGTGTTGTGTTGTGTGTGTTGTTGTTTGTGCCTGTGTGTGTGAGTGTTTGTGTTGTGATTGTTGTTGTTGTTGGTGTTGTTGTTGTTGGTGTTGTTGTTGTTGTTGTTGTTGTTGTTGTTGTTGTTGTGTGTGTTAGTGTGTGTGTGTGTTTGTGTGTGTGTGTTTGTGTGTGGTTGTGTGTGAGTGCATGTGTGTAGTGTGTGTTGCGTAGCGTGTGTTGTGTGTTGTGTGTGCGTTTGTTGTGTGTGTGGTGTGTGGTTGTGTGGTGTGTGTGCGTGTGTGTGTGTGTTGTGTGTTGTGTGTGTTGCGTGTGTTGTGTGTTTTGTATGTGTGTTTGCGTGTGTGCGTGTGTGTGTGTGTGCGTGTATGTTTACATGTGGGCGTGCGCGTGTGCGTGCGCGTGTGCGTGCGCGTGTGCGTGCGCGTGTGCGGGCGCGTGTGCGTACGTGTGCGTACGTGTGCGTGCGAGTGCGTGCGTGTGCGGGTGTGTGCGGCGTTTGCGTGCGTGTGCGTGCGTGTGCGTGGGTGTGCGTGCGGGTGCGTGCGAGCATGTGCGTGTACGTGCGTGTGCGTGCGTGTGCGTGCGTGTGCGTGCGTGTGCGTGCGTGTGCGTGCGTGTGCGTCGGTTGCGTGCGTGTGAGTGGGGGTGGATGCGGGTGCGTGCGTGTGCGGGTGCGTGCGGGTGCGTGCGTGTTCGTGCGTGTGCGTGCGTGTGCGTGCGTGTGCGTGCGTGTGCGTGTGCGTGCGTGTGCGTGCGTGTGCGTGCGGGTGCGTGCGGGTGTGTGCGTGTGCGTGCGGGTGCGTGCGGGTGCGTGCGGGCGTGTGCGGGCGTGTGCGGGTGTGTGCGGGCGTGTGGGTGTGCGGTTGCGCGGGTGCGCGAGTGCGCGGGTGCGCGGGTGCGCAGGTGCGCGTGTGCGCGCGTTTGCGCGCGTGTGCGCGCGTGTGCGCGCGTGTGCGCGTGCGCGTGTGCGTGCGTGTGTTTGTGTGTGACCCACAGCACCAGGGGAGAACGTGTGTATGTGCGTGCGCGTGCGCGTGCGCGTGCGCGTGCGCGTGCGTGTGTGTTTGTGTGTGTGAATGTGTGTGTGTGTGTGTTTGTGTGTGTTTGTGTGTGTGTTTGTGTGTGTGTGTCTGTGAGTGTGTGTGTGTGTGTTCCTGGGCCCCTTCAATCACATGTGACCGTCGCTCACTCCCAATAACATTTAATGACACAAACAGAAGTTTGGGAGGCCCGTGCGAATGTCTTGGATCTGCACGGGACCCTAAGAAGCGCCGCCCCTGGCGCGCTTCGCGCGACAGGGAAGGGGGGTCCAGCGCCACTGCAGTACACCCGCGTGGACCTTCGAGAGTTTGAGTTCATCAGTCGCGTCTTCCCCTCATAGAATCTACGTGGGAGAATCGGACAACGTAAAATCTGTGCCCGCATCATTCCTTGCCTCATCCAGTGCGTACCAGTTCGTACAATGACTAAGGCGACCGTCCTTGAAAATGCCGTCAGGCTCCGTCCATTGAGATTCGTCCCGCCCGCTCAAAGCACGTCCCACTCTGGTACATGAATTGCTGAGGCATGCTCTGATGTCAAATGGATGCGTCCTACCCACCGCCAGGGAATAATCGATCTTCCTCGACCTGGTCAGAAGAAGAGGATTCGCATGTCACTTCCTGCTTGCACCCCCGTGGCATCCGTCTGCGTTGCCCCTCCCGCGTCCCCCATCTCGTCCTTGCCTCCTTCCCCTACCCCCCACCATCTCTTCCCCCCCCCTCGCCGTTTCCAATGAGAGGCTGTAGACATCCTCCCGGCTCCTCCTCCTCCTTCCCCTCCTCCCTCCCTCCCTCCCTTCCCCCCCCCTCTCCTCCCTCGCCTGCTCTGCCGAGGCGGCGGCCCACGCAGGAGCAGCCCGTATGCTGCCCGCCTTGCACGTACGTGTATGATATTTGTTGCCTGTCCATTTTTGGCCTGCAGGCCGGGAAGAAGGACCGGGGGTTGTGTCGGAGCTTACGAGACGGGGGTCAATGGAAACGGGGGTCAGCCGGGGCACCAGATCTTGCAGGATCTTGCGAAGACCCCCTCTGGCTGACCTGGGTCAGCGAGCCGCTCGTGGCCGCGAGGCGGCCGCGCATATTGGCTGACCCGGGTTTGCGAAGCCTTGCGTTGCAGTTTTGGTTCTTGCATTTCAGTGTTTTGGTTTCTTGCTGACCAGGGTCTGATTCACCCGGGTTTGGAGATCCCCGACTGTGCAAATCGGCGGCGAGCGAGGGGGGGAAGTGAGAAGGAGAAGGCTTTCTCAGAAGGTTTGGAAGCCCCCTGGCCTTCTGAGAAGTGTTCGAAGCATTCCCCGAAGACCGACAACCATTTTTCTGAGAAGTCCCGCCGCCTTCTGAGAAGGCCTTCTCCTTCTCATTTCCCCCCTTCGCTCGCCGCCAAGAGTAAGGCCACGGGTTGTGCAAAGGACGGGGAGGGGGAGGAGGAGGGGGAGAGCCAGTTGGCACGACGGTGGTGAGCCTTCGGTGGGAGCCCCTTGTGGCCACGGCTGCAAGCAGCTTGGAAAATGTATGCGTTTGGACCCCGTGAGGGATCCGGGGGCCGATTTTGAGCTTCCGTTGTCTCAATTCGTCTTCTCTCCGGAGGGGGGCGAGGAGGAGGAAGCGGCAGATCACCGAGAAGTAGCCAGTGGGCCGCTTGCGTGGTACATGTGTTTCCCTGCCGTATTGTTTGCCCATTCTTTGGCTTGGGAGGACGGCGAAAGGGAGGATGAGGAAGAAACGGAGGGGGTCAAGTGAGGAGGTGGACTTGCAGCATGATCAGGGTGTGGATTTGGAGAGAAGCCAGGGCAAGGATGATGTGCAGATGGAGGAGGAGGAGGAGGAGGAGGAGGAGGAGGGGGAGAAGGAGGATGAGGAGGAAGAATAGGAGACCGAGGCGGAGGGCGGAGGAGGACGAGTGTAAACCCAAGACTCATGTCCTCCAAGCTTCCTCTCCATATGCCTCTACAAGGCTTCATTTCCACTGAGGGAAGTGCCCCGCTGGGAGACAACAGTTTGAAGACCCTGACGCGTGCCGGATCACAATTCGCGGGACTCCAACGCCACGATCAACGTGATTGCTGCGTCTTGACCATCCAGGCTCGTGCCAGAACGCCATCCGTGGGACTTCAGCACCGCAAATCAACGTGACTGTTGCGCCCTGACAATCCTGCACTGCCCCAAAGCACCATGTCTGATACGCTGACAGTGGAAATCCGTGAAACTCTTGCAAGCGTTGTTTTAACAACGAAAACGAACGTGCGCGGCGCTAATGCGAGAGCCACATGCTGCAAACCACCCGCCCTCCATCCGTGAAGCTCCTTGCAACTTGTTAAGACGAGTGTGCGCGGCGCTGTGGCGAGAGCCACATGTTGAAAGCCACCCGCCCTCCATCTGTGAAGCTCTTGCAACCGTTTAAAGACGAATGCCCTCCACCCGCGAGATTTCACAATTTGTTTAGCCGAGTGTACGTGGCGCAGAGGCGGAAGCCACATTTTGAACACGGCCCGCCCTCCATCCGTGAAATTCTTTCAGTGTCTCAAGACGAATATGTGCGCGG